TTTTTTTTTTTTTTTTTCTTTTTTCATTTTAAGCTTTTACTTATTTATTTGGTACAGGGTCCTCTGTGCAGTTTGGACTTGTAGTGAATCTCCCCTCAGCCTCCTGAGAGCTGGGATTACAAGCATGTACCACCAAGGCCAGTTTTGGTGACTGGCAGCCTGGCATGTGGTACTGGGGATAGAACTCGGGTCTTTGTGCTTGCCAGACAAGTGCTTAGACTGCCAGGCTATCTCCCCAGCCCCCTTGTCAAGTTTCTTTTTTGTTTCTGTTTTCATTTGTATGTATTTGGTACAGGATCTCACTACGCAGCTCAGATGCATAGTGACCCTTCTGTTTTCAGCCTCCCTAGCGCTGGGATTACAGATAAGCGCCACCACACCCTGACTCAGTTGCCTGCTCAGGGCGACCCCAGGGCAATACTGACACAGCCATCAAATTTCTTAATAGAATTTAAAAACCATTTCCATTGCATTTGCATTCAGCCAGGTATTGTAAGTTGAGAGATGACCATACAGGAGGCCGTGTATAGGTCTTTCACAAATACCACACCTTTTTCGAGGTTTTATTTATTTTTCTTGAGACAGGGTCTTGCTGTGTAGTTCAGGCTATTCTTGAACTGTGTAGCCCAGGCTGGCCTTGATCTTGTGGCCATCCTCCTGCCTCAGACTCTTGAGTGCTGAAAATGACAGGTGTGTACCTGGCACCATACCAGTTATAACGGGTATTTTAGCACTGACAGAGTTTGGAATTGGCAGGGAGGGATTCCTGGAGCCAGTCTCCTACAGATGCTAAGAGGTAACTACACAGTGACACTACATAGGGGTTGTTGAGTCAGTCCACAAAAATTTATTCACCTATAATGCACCAGGCATTGGGAGCTGACATTCTGAGCACCACTAGACGGAGTCCTCAAACAGGGGCACTGTTGGCTGTGAGAGAGCACTTGGTGCCACAGGAAAAGAGGGCTTCTGGAGGGAGAGCCACATGAAGTAGGAAGTGGTAGTTTCCCACGTGATCAGGACTTCAGAGAAGTGGACCAAAAGTATTTGAGCAGAGATCTGGGAAGCAATCTGCTGCAGGGGGAGGGGACAGTAGTGGGGGGGGGGGGGCTGCAGCAGGGCTCTGCCTGGTATTTACAGAACGTTGTATTTACAGAATGTTGGAGAGGACAGGGTGGGGAGGGGCAGGGAGTTGGTGGGCCTGGTGGGGGCTGAGTCAGGACACGAGCAAGCCCTCAACTCCTCACCCCTACAATCTCTGTTCCTTATCCCCCAGTCTCAGGTGACCGTTCTCTCTTTTACAAGTTGTACTTTTTTTGTTTTTGAGATAGGATCTCACTAGTTGCCTAGGCTGGGCTTGAATTTATAATCCTCCTGTCTCAGCCTTCCTCAGCTCTGGGATTGCAGGCGTGTGCCACCACACCCAGCTGAGATCAAATCTTTTGGCTTCTATATGAATGAGAATATGCAACACCTGTATTTTGTGTCTAGCTTTCTCATTTTTTCAGCCGAAATGGGGATTGAACTCAGGCCCTTGCGCTTGCCAGGGAAGCACTTACTCTACTGAGCCATCTCCCCAGTCCCTATGTCTGGCTTACTTGACACAATATCGTCCCAGTCCATTCTCATAGCTACAGGTGGCTGGATTGCTTTTTTCATGGCTGAGTAGTATTCTATTCCACCCTAGTAGATTTCATATCTTAGTTGTCATGAATGATTCTGCAACGGATGTTGGAGTGTGGGTGCTTTTTGTTGTATGGATTTCTTTCCTTTGCCTATTTATCCAGCAGTAGGATTGCCAGAGCATATGGCAGTTCTATTTTGAGGGTTTTTAAAATTTCTCTTATGTATTGGGGATTGAGCCCAGAGCCTTTGCACTGAGCGACATCTTCAGTCCTTTGTTGTTATTTTTGTTTTGAGACAGGCTCTCCATAAATCACCCAGGCTGGACTGGAGCTTGTGACCCTCTTGCCTCACTCTCCCAGAATGTGGGATTACAGATGTGCACACTGCACCCAGCTGATTTTGGTTTTTCAAGTCAACTCTGCCATTTTCCACAGTGGCAGCACTTAAGTTGCCTTCACGCTCGCAGTAAAAAAGGCTACCTTTTCTCCACAACCTCCCCAACATTCTGTTTTGCTTTTTGTTCCAGCCACATTGGAGATAGAACCCAGAGCCTCATATATTAGGCAAACACTACCACTGAGCTACAGGGCCGGCAAGATAGCCCAGTGAACTAAGTGCCTGCTGGCCCCGCCCCCAGGTCACATTGAACTGGTGGGGAGGCTGAAATCGGGAGGATCACTAGAGTTGAGCTGAGCAGGGAAACCCTGGACCGAATACATAAAATGAAAAAAAAAAAAAAAAAGATATAAGACTTAAGGGGCTGGGGAGATAGCTCAGTAGAATAAGTGCTTGCCTGGCAAGCTCAAGGGCCTGAGTTTAATCCCCAGTTCC